CAAAATGGAAATTCTTAAAAGCTTTTTCAAAAAGCTTAGTTTTATAATATAAACAGTATAATGTTCGTTGTATTAACAAGTAATTTAATCGTACATTTGTTTTACATATTCTTATTGTTGATGAAAGATGGCTAATTGAAGGATTTTTATTTCGTTTATTTTAGCGCTGCTGTGTCTCGGGTTAGCCACCGTTATAAATGGAGGCGCCATAAAGGGAGGCCATCCCGGAAGTTTCCAGCAAAAGATCGTTGAGGTAAACTGACACATTCCAGAGAAAGTTAATATTTCACTTAGAATGGTTCTGAATCCTGTCCTATTATCAATTTTCTAAACACGTTTTTTGGATATTTTGTTGAGTTTACAAGTAACAATTTAACGATGAGTAATAAACGCTTAACGAGAGTTTATATTTAAATATACGTCTTTTCATAAGGTAAGCGTCTACTGATGAATAGGGGAGCATTCTGTAAAGCACGTTATAGAATAAATTTTAATTTCTTACAAATTAGTAATTTCACGTACTTCAATAAGAAACGATAAGTTGGATCCATGTTTTTATTTCAGCAATTTATCATAATTGTCAATGGATTACACTCATTTTAATTCATTATTCATTTGTGTAGTACTTATAAAATTCGAATATTTACAAATATTAATTATTTCTGCATTAATTCCGATAAACTCATTGAAATTCAAGTCTTAACTTATTTTTTTCTTAAATGCAAAATAATTTTTGGGTTATAATTATTTTATAATGTAGGAAACGTAGAAATAGTGTTTAAAAATATTTTAGAAGAGTATTTAATTATATAAACAGCACTTTAACACTGTCTAAATCTTTCAGTAATTTATTAAAAACTGATTTTATAGATCATAAACAAAGGTGAATTTGTAGAAGAGGTGACAACAAAACCCCCTCAAACAATGCCAGTGAAGGTGATGCCAGCAGGTTTTGATGGGGAGGAACCACCAGAAACCCCTGAAGTAATAGCACTAGGTCTTCCATCATGGGCCAGCCTTCTCATTTATCCTATCGACATTACTTTCTCTTGTTTTGGGAGACCCTATGGTTTCTATGCCGATATAAAGAATCAATGCAAAATCTACCATGTTTGTAAACCAGTCACCGATGCTGCTGGAAACGTCATGCGGTATCTTCGATACAGTTTTGTTTGCCCAAATCAAACTGTTTTTGACCAACGTGGTTTGGTATGTACTCATGCTCATCTGGCTGTGCAATGTAGTACGTCTCATAAGTATTTATACGTGAATGAAAACTTTGGAAAACAAAATCCTGGATCATTACCAACTACCAGTCCTATTACTCGACCTACAACACCTACTTCTGGCCTTCGTCCAATTCCACTTCCTTTTAAACCACATCCTGGCTCTGGTCCTCTTAGTCCTAATCTTACCAGTTCTCCATCAGGTACAATCCCACCTGAGTGTAACTCAGATGGCACAGGTGATTCTCCAATTCCTTGTAGATACCCAGCCCCTTCTCCAGATACAGCAAATATTTTAGTCCCGACCACTTCTGAAGCTAAACCTGGTTCAGTTATTCCAGCTCCTGGACAAGTCGGTCCCGCTCCAGGCCCCCTTGTTCCAGCTCCTGGCGTTGTCGGTCCCACTCCTGGTGTCGTCGTTCCAGCTCCTGGTGTTGCCGGTCCCACTCCAGGTGTCGTCGTTCCAGCTCCTAGTGCTGCCGGTCCCGCTCCAGGTGCCGTCGTTCCATCTCCTGGCCAAGTCGGTCCTGCTCCAGGTTCCGTCGTTCCAGCTCCTGGCCAAGTCGGTCCTGCTCCAGGTCCCGTCGTTCCAGTTCCTGGCCAAGTCGGTCCTGCTCCAGGTCTCGTCGTTCCAGCTCCTAGCCAAGTCGGTCCCTCTCCAGGCCCCATCATTCCAGCTCCTGGCCAAGTCGGTCCTGCTCCACCTCATGGACAAGTCGGTCCCGCTCCAGGTCCCGTCGTTCCAGCTCCTGGACAAGT